GATTTGTTTCATTGTTTGAGCGGAGAGAATTCTACAAGCAGGCTGCAGATGCTAAAATATTAAACAATAGAATTTGGGACTTTTTGAACAAAATGCTTATTTATTTTTGGTCAGAATATGATAATTCATTGAATCTGGAATGGAATTTCTAGTTAACACTAACGAAAGAACCACCATGCTCCTAGAATAGCCAGTAGCCCAGAGACTGTGGCTTTCACCTGAGATATCTGGGTTTGAATCCCCATTTTAAATCAGGCAGAGCAGGAATTTGAATCTGAATTTCCAACATAGGTCATCACCCTAACCATCAGGAGCTATTATCTATTCTGGACATTCCGATCCCGGTCTTTCCTTTCTGGTGTTTTGTTACACACCTTGAAGGATCTCAATTCATTCTGATCTAGAATCAGAATATTTTTCACAGAGTAGCATAACCTTGTCCTACCCAGCTCTAATTCACATGCCGTTATGGCAGCAGGCCTCCTGTTCGCAGCCTACCTTAGTTATGAGCAGAGAGTTCTACATTACACATTCAGAAAGAACTATGTTTCTTTTGTAGCTTGTATTGTAGCCTCTGATAGCTTTGCTCCTATGTATCAGTACCAGTACTTTGGTGTTTTCTATGCATATTCTTGATCACCATCTCTAATTTTAATTAAAAGCCATCATGCTGATTCTTTGTACATCACTGCTATTTGCATCTTTGTAGATACAAACACAAATGAAATGGAGGCATAAAACATTGATTCCTATAGCCAAAGGCCTTGATGTTAGTCTGTACCCAGAATAGTTGAGACCTGGTTTAGCACATCTCTGAAATTCTCTGCATTACTAACATATATTCCATTACATATTAACTCAGTTTATGCTTGTTTTTCCCCCATCAGAGAATAAACATGTTACTTTCTAAGCATCAATTATGGTTTTACACGTTGGATCTACTCAGTAGTTACTTATTAAATGGATCTGTGGAATTACAGGAAATACTTGTGAGTACCTATATTTGTATCAAATATGTAAATCATTACTTTGTATTGATGAAAGGGATGGGGAGGGTGTCTAGATCAAAATATCTACTATGGATCAGGATTCATTCTGCTTCAGAAATCTCAGTCAAGTACGTGGGAATTTTTGGTATAGCTCAATAGCAGAATGAGACTAATTTTCTCTCTAGTTATTCCTTGGGCTTTAATTTTGTACAGGAGGCTTATTGGCAGCTTCTTTGGCATAGTAAGTAAAGTGGTGGCACTCCGGTAGCTAAGGACTTTATTCAGGTTCTAAAACATCATCTTCAGATTGCTCTGTGTGGGTATGTCTACACTACCCTCCTAGTTTGAACTAGCGGGGTAATGTAGGCATACCGCACTTGCAAATGAAGCCCGGGATTTGAATTTCCCGGGCTTCATTTGCATAAGCCGGCTGGCGCCATTTTTAAATGCCGGCTTGTTCGAACCCCGTGCCACGCGGCTACACGCCGTGTAGCCGCGCGGCACGGGGTTCGAACAAGCCGGCATTTAAAAATGGCGCCGGCCGGCTTATGCAAATGAAGCCCGGGAAATTCAAATCCCGGGCTTCATTAGCAAGTGCGGTATGCCTACATTACCCCGCTAGTTCAAACTAGCGGGGTAGTGTAGACATACCGTGTGTGTGTGTGTGTGTGTGTGTGTGTGTGTGTGTGTGTGTGTGTGACAATAGTTGGCTTTCTTTTGGAAAAGTTCATCTCACAAGGACATAAAATTTTGCATCTAGGATATAAAGTGCAATTTCTCCCAGGCCATGTCTACACTACAAATGAGATCGAAGCAGCCACAGTCGATCTTCTATGGTTCAAATTAGTGGGTTTAGTGAAAGGGTGCTTCTATCAATGCTAGTAGTTCTGCTTCTACAAGGATTAAAGCAACTTGAAGGGAGAGTGTGCTCCCTTCGATTTCCTACAGTGTGTAGGGTGCCAAAATTTGATTTAAGATACTTTGACTTAAACTATGCAATTAAACGTAGCTGAAGTTGTGTATCTTAATTTGAACCTATCCTCTAGTGTAGACCAGGCCCCAAAGCAAAGTGCTCAAAGTAGCGAAGACTAGGAAGTAGGGAATTCTAAATAAAAATCAAATATTTCATCTCCCAGGATTTGAAATGCAACAGATTCTTTTTATTTTTGTCTTTTTGTTTTTCTCTCACTTTTTTTTCCTTTTCAAAATTAAGGCTACATCTAGACTGCACTCTAAAATTGAAAAAAGATATGCAATTTGCACTACGCAAATTGTGAATCTTTTTTTAATTTAATTTAGAAAGAGAATATGCTGAAATTTGGCACATCTACACGGCACTAAATTTCAAAATAAAGTGCTCTTTCAAGCCATCCCTTATTCCTTGTAGCATAAGGTTTACAGGGATGGTGAAAGAGAGCATCTGTTATTTTGAAAACATTTTCGAAATAGTGAATGTGTTCCTTGGACATGGCGTTGCTATTTCGGGATACTTCCGGTATCCCAAAATTGCAATGCAGTCTAGACATACCCTAAGAGCAATAAAATGGACGACCTTTATTCCCCCATACACACACACTTTGTCAATTTTTCTTTTTCTCAGTGTTTATTTTACTACTCTGAAACCTGTTGAAATTTCTGTAACTTTCCCAACAATGAGAAAAGTGAGATGGAGTGAAAACCAAACAAAAGCAAAAGAAGTATGGAGGGTGAAAAATCTGACAGCACTAGATCTCGTCCACCCTACTGCATTCTGTGGCACAAAGGAGTAAAAAAAAGGGGGGGGGGGAGGAGAGTAAGAAAAGGAATTCTCCCTACCCCCAAACTCTCAAAACTTTTACCTATGATGTACACACAGAATTTGGTTTCAGTGAAATCTTTTAATGGCAGATTCCAGTTTCAACATATAGCCATTGTTAATCAAAAACGAATTTCTGAATGAAAAATTGCTAACCCGGAAACAGTCGAGATATTACATTCAGAAAAGTGTGCCTGTTCATAGTTAAATAGCAGTATTGTTTCTGAATAATAAGCTGTTACTCAGCATGAGTAAGGTTGTAAGAATTTAGGGCCAGCTTTTAAAGGCTTTTAGGTACCTAAAGGTGCAGATGTGCATCTAGTAGAATTTTTAGAAGTTACACTTAACCTCACTAACCACCTAGCTGCATCTTTAGGTTTTTAAATGCCTTTTAAAAAACTGGTTCTTATCCCTTAGATTGTAAATCTCTTGGGACGGAAACTGTCTGTTATTCCATGTGTGTACAGCACTAAGCAACATAGGGTTATGGTATTGTTTGAGGATTGCAGATTTCAATGAAGATTGTATGTCTCTCGATCAGTTTCAGTGTGTGGAGGAAGTTGCTCTTTCAACATCCTTTTTTTTGGACCAGGCTATACATGCACTATGTGTATACACATGTCAGACACCTGGCAGGTTTTTTATTGTGTCAGCAGTAGAGCGCCACCTCTGTCATTCTAACATCTCAATTTTAGTGCATGTTTCCAGGAGAGCGTTCCTTAATTGATTGAGTTTATACCTTTCTTGGAGGACAGTGTGTCATTAAATACCTCTGCCTAGTCAGAGTGGCCACTAATAGCTTCAATATTGATAATGAGTTACAGGCATGACAATGAGTAAGTATTCTGGTCTTATTCATAAATGTAAATTTAAGTGAAATTTGATTTATATGACATTGGCTTCCTTAGTAAATCAAATTTGATGTCTAAAAGATTGACAATCCTATAGCTAAGCACACTCATAATTCACTTCTTCATACTAGAAGTGGAAGTGGAAATGCTTTGTTACCATCCATTCCCTCTTTATTATTATTTGAATAGCACCTGCAGACTGCTAAGGGTACTCTGTTAGCTTGAGTCCAGACACTCACTGATCTATAAGGGACTGATTCAAAGCCCAATGAAGTTGATGGAAGGACTTCCCAACATTCTTAATAGCAGAAAATATGGTGCAGACCTACAGGGATGGGGGGTTGCTCCCCTTGGGTGAGGACAATATCCCATTTTATCATATGTCATCATTCATCAAATCAGGCCCATTTTGAAATAATTCTCTTCCCATTTTTTATATCCTTAGCATGCTTTTCCATAACTGCTGCAATTCAGGTACCTGGTTTCTATCATAAACGGGGATTACAGTTTGGCTGCTATCAGCACGCCCACTATACAAATTGTTCCAACAACCTTGCCTTCTTCTTGTAAGCTGCAGCCTCCCTGAAATAAATGTGAGTTGCGCTTTAATAAAAACTGCAGGATCAATCTGATACATTATCTTACAAGGCAGAAAAAATGGTTTTATATATGTCCTTCAACAGAGCAATATACACATTTAACTACTTAGTTTACCTTAAGCCAACACCGAAGCTGAAATACAAAGAACCAGATTCTCAATTGGTGTTAAAAGTTGAAACTCCGTTGATATTAATGAAATTATGCCAGTCTATCCCAGCTAAGAATCTGAAGTGTGCATAAATAAATTTGTAAGTAAAGAGTCCTAAAGAAGACAAATCATTGAAATATTATGATATACTGTGTATATGTGAGAATCCCTGTAGAGGCACAGTCTGAAAATTTACAGCAATTATAATATGGATTAAGGGAGATAGTGAAATCATCTAATTTTAAATTTATGAAGTCAGATGATAGACATTGAAGAGTTTTTATTTTACACCTTTGTAAAACACCTGTTAAGAAATGATACAATGCACAATACTAACAAGGAGTGAAATTTGCTGCATTGCATGCACAATCTCTTATAAGTTAATATTTTCAGGTACTTAAAGAAACAACAATGCAGTGTTAATTCCCAAAAAGGTTTGGGCAGAAGTTTGAAAAGCTGAGGTGAGACTTGAAGTAAAGCTGAATATTTACAGCTTCACTCAGCCTTAATCCTAATGCTACGGCATCAATACATTTTCATAATCTCTGTGCTTGTGAGTCATCCGGGCGTCTGTTGCAGCTCAGACTCACACTGGGCTAGGTAATTATTTTTAGAAAATGGGAACGTTGTCATCTTTGCCGTGCAGAGGGATCGGGCAGTGCAATTGGATCCCCATTGCTTTCCTGAACTTGTGACAATGAGGAACAAGTTCATACTGGTGATTATTCATGAGCTTTGTCATAATCAGGATGTGTATTTGTAGATAGAGAGTAGCTGGGAACAGTTTCAATTAGAGTTCTGTGTCTGGGCCTGGTGATGCTTGCTACAGGTTTTGCAAGCTGCTGAAAATAACCTTCCAAATACAATATATCAGCCCCACGAAGCCCCAGGGGGACAATGAGGAACAAGTTCATACTGGTGATTATTCATGAGCTTTGTCATAATCAGGATGTGTATTTGTAGATAGAGAGTAGCTGGGAACAGTTTCAATTAGAGTTCTGTGTCTGGGCCTGGTGATGCTTGCTACAGGTTTTGCAAGCTGCTGAAAATAACCTTCCAAATACAATATATCAGCCCCACGAAGCCCCAGGGGCTGCCAAG